CTCTCCATAAGTTCCAGCCACTCAACCAGCCAAAAGCTTTGTATTCTGACTCCTCAAGCCAGTAGGACTGAGACTTCTCTTGACTTTTAACTATTTTATCCACACATCATGAAAACTAAGACGTTCCCTCAGGTGAAAAGGTGTTTGTTCACAAAATGAGATTTTCTTATTTCAAGCCTGAAATTACTTTCAGTTTCTGTCTACTACATGCATACTTTCTGTCCTCCTGAGCCTTAAAAAGGGAATTTACGTAGTCAGTGAAAAAAATAGCGACACTGGACGGCATCTGTGGCTCAAAGGAGTAGAGCGCCGGCCCCATATGCCGGAGGTGGCAGGTTCAAACCCAGCCCTGGCCAAAAACTGCAAAAAAAGAAAAATACCTACACTGAGGTGGTGATATAAGAATCTAGGCACATAGATTCTATGGACAAATGAAGTTGCTGATAAAGTTTCTGTGACATTAAAAATGCTACTTGACCTTGGAAAATCCAAATGTGAATTATCTGTGGCAGTAAATCAGAAGGCTATCATTATACGTAAAATTTTAGGTTAGAAAAAATAAAATTAATATCCTGTTATTCTATTTATCTTTAATTATAGAAATTATTATATCCGGGAAATTACTACCTGGGAATGAGCTTTGCACAGCTAAATGGTTTTCCATATTAGCACATTACAGTTGTGCTGATTTGACTATTAAATTAATAGACAGGTAATTTTATAATTTCTTTGAACTGTTTCTACTGAATATTAATTGTAGACACTATTTAAAAAGCATCTGTGTTACTTGCTGTGACTAACCAAAAGCACAACAAATCACGTTTCTTCAATTATAGTTTTTACATCTAATTCAAACTGATTTGTAAAAGTAGCACAAAGCATCCATCAGGTTTTAAGAAATATATTTTATTTCTTCAGTTCACGGGGAGGAAGGCAGAAGCATTTGGATTTATTTGCTCTTTATTTAGTGTCTTTCCGAGAGGCATTTAAAACTTATCAAGGTATCGGACCTCAGAGCAGTTATCTTTTAATTTTAAATCATGGCTATATAAAGTTAAAAAAATAAAATCTATAGGAGCCAATTTGTGGCTCAAGCGTAGTTGTATTAAGTCAGATAGTCATTTGCCAAACCCAGTTATTGGAAGTATTTACCCTTGTAAATACACTGCAGTAGTCAGCAGATGGCATGCATTGTACATTAACTACTCTACCCCGTTATCACATCCACTTTAGAACAGAAAGCATCTGTTCTTCTCAAAAAGCCACATTATCCCCTCATTTGCAGTTTAGTGTTAATTTGTGAACTATTTAGTGATAATCAAAGAAGGTGATATTTCATCTTCATTTAGTTTGGAGAATGGATTCAATCAAGTATGAGATGGGGTAAAAATACATTTACCAATTCCTTAGCAAGCTTCAGCATTTAGGAGAAACGATCTTCTGTGATCATTTTCCTGCTTTGGCTAGAGGCTTGTGCAGGAGGACAGAAGCCTTTTTGGATGCACTTTCTAAGGCTTTTGATGAATTTTAGGAACATAAAAATCATTTCCTATTGTGTATTGTTAAGTGCCTAAGTTTAAAATCTAACAAACAAGTAAATCAACATGCACGGACAACTAAATTTACTTTTAAGTCATCTATTTAAGATAACGCTAAAATAGCCTAATTGGAAAATCTCTTCATACATAAAAGCATGCAAGTATTCATGCTTGCCTTTGAGTGGTTCAAAGGAGAATTTGGCTGATGATGCGCTAACATAATGCATAGCTTAGAATACTTCACGTCAAACTGATATCCATCTGTCAGCCTGGCCTGATGCCTATTCCCAAGGTATTGAGTCACTCTGCAGGGCCTGAGTTGTGTCTGTTAAAGTTATCTCCAGGGAGCTAAGTTATACAACATAAAACAGAATGAACACATAGAGAAACAGAAACACAAACCGCATACACCTTATCAGTGCAAATGGAGGGACTAGACGTTTGCCTTCCTTAATACCAGACTTTTTCTTATGTGTTAAACGTATTATAGAATGACTTTCTTAGGCTGAGACTGATGCACTTTTAACCATGAACTTGCTTCAGGATCAATTATATTTGGAGGAAGTAGAATAATTATGGAGATGCTGTTACAACATTAGAAAAGTTTCCTATTCCTGAAAGTTGCAATTAATTAAATAGCTGTTGAAAGGAAGAAAATACTTACCATTTTTGCTTTGATATTTGTTTCTTTTTTTTTTTTTTTTTTTGAGACAGAGCCTCAAGCTGTCCCCCTGGGTAGAGTGCCGTGGCATTACAGCTCACAGCAACCTCCAACTCCTGGGCTCAAGCGAGTCTCCTGCCTCAGCCTCCCAAGTAGCTGGGACCACAGGCGCCCGCCACATGATATTTGTTTCTTAATGGAGAAATAAATTGAAATATATTCCCCTAAGGAAACATCAAATGTGTGTGTATGTGTGTGTGTGTGTATAGCTTATGTATTTTACTCCTTACCAGTTAGACCTGTGTTTCATTTGAAAGAATGTTTCCATTTTCAAGGAAGAGCAGGATATCTTAAATAAAAAAATATTTCTTTGGTAACTGATGTATTCAGTATTTGTGTTTGGAGTTATGGGAGATCAAGGACATTAATGAGAATGCTACTCATTTAACTTGCTTTATGTTCTTGAAAAAGGCTTCAAAAATGAAAATGATCAGCAAGGAAGAAAAAGCTTCCCAGTTTTGCTGTGTAGGTGGGAGCTGGGTATAGATGTGGGAGTTCTGAGTGGGACTGCCGTTCTAGCTGCTGGCTTCCTAAGATGCTAAAAGTAGCACAGTGGTGGTTGTCATTGATGGATGACTGCATTTTGCTGTTCATTTCTTCCATACTCTGGACTGTTAACAGCATTTTGTTGGGGTGGGTATTCTCTTTTAATCTATTTCATAGGGAAAACTGGTGAATATATATACGGACGTATTAGAGATATGTACAAACAAGTAAAATAATACTGTTCTGCGTACCAAATAGACCTAAACCATTTTGTAAAATGATCTTTTGTACTTGGGGGTCTTCTTTCTCAGTTGGCTTGTATTCCTAGCTCCTTCTGGCCTATGCAACACTAATTCAACAGCTTGAGAAGAAATTATATCCTTGTTTTGGAGGAATTTGTCCCATCCAGGTGCCTTGAGGTTATTAGCTACTTCAGGAAAACCTGTTTCCATTGGCAAGTAAACTGATATAATGAAAAAAAAAGGTCACCCACTCCCTCTCCCAGTGACAGGAAATGGATGATGCCGTGAATACTGTTTGCCTGCTTCCCTGTAATGACAAGAGATATAAAAATCAAATTGTCACTCCTGCCTGGTAGATGTAGATGACCTGCGGCCACAGGCAGGTCATTATAACTGTAGGTGCCAGGTACTCCAGGATTTGGCATCGGGCCTGCCTTATGTTCAGAGCCAGCTGGCTTGGCATTAGGAAAAACGAGAGAGACTTCAGTTTATTGGGGGTTAATATGACCACGTAAACGACGCATATCTAAGCAGCGTCTTGTTAAAAATAAATGTAATCATTTAGGTTAACAGAAAAAACAAATATCAAACATATGAACTAATTCATTTCTTTCATTCTCTTCCATTCCCAAACTTGCCTTGGTAGCTTCCTGCTCAACAAATGTACTAGGCAGCATGTAATCATGTCACTCTGTCACAAAGTCAGATGTCTAGATAGAAAGGAGTGATGGCAGACTTTTCCCATCTTTCAGCAAAAAGCCCAGGAAAAGCTTGGTGAAAACCAAGATGAAAACCACACTTTTTTGTCATCACAAATCATCCGTATAGCACATGGTGCATGTATATTGAGTCTCTTCGTGTCGGCTATTTATTGCTTGGGTTAGGACTAGAGTACATGTGCTATGATAATACTTGATTAGGTACAAAGTTCCCTGCAAGTTGAAACCAATGTACTTGGTGAAAAAGTCACTTGCGTTGAAGATACAACAGAAACCCTTGTGAGATAATTTTCTTGAAAAAAATAGGTATTTTATGACAAAACAGTATTAATAGTCTTGAAGTTTATATATAATATGTTTTCCAGAAACTTTAAGTACTTTAAATAAATACTTCAACAAATATCTGTGCCAAATATGGGTCAACTAATATACCTTGATTAGGAGATGGGAATAAAAATGTCATGATAAAATTGGAGTCTTCACATTTTTGCACACTTACTCTCCACCCCTCACTTTTTAAATTAATTTATATAATTAATATTTACATAAATTATACAGTGTTCAAGTCAGGGCTTTAAGGTTATCTATCACCCGAATAATGTACATTGTACGCATTAAGTACTTTTATATTTTATTTCAATTCTTTCTGATACTATAACAATGATACAGGTACTCCCATTTTATAGATGATTAAACTGAAGGAAGAATTAGATTTAAACGTATGGATCCCAGGTTCAGAACCTAATACATTCTTTAGTATCCAAACCAGATACCATTCATCTAAGTTTATGTCAGTCTGTAATATGTAACCCTTGCTAGCACCCTAAATCCAATTTATATGCTTTAAATTTTTTTTTTTTTTTTTTTTTTTTTTTTAAAGTGGAGAAGACTCTAGGTTTAGTAAGATGCTTTCCTTTCACATAGATTTTCCAATTCTATGTTAAGTGGTGTGGGGGTAAATATTCATGATTTTTCCTGGAAGAAGGGAAAACTTCCAGAAAGGAGAGTCTTCCCATTTTCTATCCCTATAAGGCAATTTCCAGAAGTTATCACTGTATTTGTGTACCATGATAGAACTGGTGCAAATTGTACTATGTTAATGAAAATAGGTCACTTGAACTTATAGTCACATTACTTGAACGCATGATCCAAACATCCTTTTTTGTGGCCTTGACCATATCTCCACATTGTGGCCTCTCTACTCCTGAGACTCGTTTTTGTAGAACAAACATCAGTTCACTTTTTGGAAACCTTCTTGAAGTGTCAGCTTATCTTTTGTGGAAGCCCCCTCTGGTCATTTTGTTCCTTTTAAGATGGACAAAGGATCTCCTAGTATTATCTGACCCTGTCTCTCTTCAGCCCTACCTAACAGGACAAACACAACTTTAAGGCTTTGAGACATGATTGACATTTGTAGAGTATTTCTTTCATATGAATTGTGATGAGAAAAGCATGAGAAACATTCTTCACATATATACAATTTCTCCATGTATTCTGCTATGTACTGAAATGTGTGAGTTCTGGTTATAGGATTCAAACTTTCTTCACATTTGTCAGGGATTTCTCTGTTATAAAGTTTTCATTTATACAATGGTTAGAGCACAAGTTAAACAGTCGCCAGGTTCTTCACATTTGTAGAGTTTCTCTTCAACATGAATTCTATTGTGCACAGAAAACTTGACTACTGGCATTGAACTTGACTACTTGACTACTGGCATTAGGCTTTGCCACATCTTCATATTGTTACATTATTTCTCTGGGATGATTTCTCTTATGTTTAAGGGCTGAAGACCACATTATTCACATCTGAAAGATTTCTCTCCAGTATGAATTTTGTTATGTGTAATAAGATTTGAGTTTCAGTTAGGGGAATTGCCACACTGTTCACAGTTGTGAGATTTCTCATCAGCGTGAATTCTTTTATGCCTAGCAAGTTATCAACACCAGGTAAAGGTACTACAACATTCTTCATATTTCGAGGATTTCTCTCCTGTATTATTTTATGTACAGTGAGGTTTGAATATGAGTTAAAAGGTTTGCCACACAGTTCGTATTTATAAGGTTTCTCTCCAGAATGAATTTTTTTATG